GGTTTAGGGCTATACTCGTCATATAAGACTACCCCACTTCCGAGGCAACACCATTTTAAAACATCATGGATGGATGTGCGGTAATACTGTATGTACGGTAGCTTCAGCTACATACAGTATACCGTGCTGAGCCAATCACAGCGAGCAATGTATTCTATTAATGAATACAAAGCTTGCTTGGATTGGCAGAGGTTGTGTACATCGTTCACCGTGATTGGCTCAGCTACTGTATGTAGCCGAAGCTACCGTAAATACAGTATTACCACACATTCCGCGGGCTGACAGATTAGGGATGTTCGTTTTGGGCCAGCTTGGCCTAAACGAACTAAAGGTATACATGGTATACCCCGCATATAAGACGACCCCCGATTTTCGGGGGATGTTTTTAGGTATAAAAAGTAGTCTTATACGCCAGCAAATACAGTACTTAAAAATAAGTATTTTAGGGGCCCATTCACACCTTTGGCTGCATTTACACCACTTGCTTTGTGTTTAGCGTGTGTTGACGCATTCACTTTTATTAACTTGATTTAATGTGTGTTAACATAGATTTTTTGACATCTCATTGCTGGGAACTAGGACAGCAGGAATAAAGGTAAGTTTTCTTGTCCTTGCATTGAGCAATGCAGGCCAAATCCATTTTGTCCAGCTTTACACAAGATTTCTCCATTGGAACATCCTTTGTCATGACAAATCTCTTATATCAAAGACAAGGAAATTTGGTTATGTCATTGGCCCAGGATGTTGCTATCATGGTAGCTTCTCATTCCGGCGTTGATGCCCTGGGCACCCTGCCAGTGCAGGGCTGTTGCTCACCAGAAGAATCTCAGCTCCAAACATTCTGGGGTTGAGTGCAATTTGCATGTCTCTGCATGAGAAAGACCTTCTGTCAGGTCATGCAGTTTGGCTGCATTTACACCACTTGCTTTGTGTATAGCGTGTGTTGACGTATTAATTTTTATTAACTTGATTTAATGTGTGTTAACATAGATTTTCTGACATCTCGTTGCTGGGAACTAGGACAGCAGGAATAAAGGCAAGTTTTCTTGTCTTTACATTGAGCAAAGCAGGCAAAACCAGCCCAATGCAGGAGTTGTGAATGGACCATAGGTGTTTTAACACACATTAATGAATGTACACAAATTAGCCATTGTTTTACATATTGGTAGTTTACATCTGTGTGATGCCTTGACAAACAGTATCTGTGTATATACACTACAAAATACAGTACAAAACGTATATAGGTATTCATACTGTATAGTGTATGTAGTAAAAAGAATAAAGTGAAATCAAGCCCTTCCTGAGCACCATCATAATTATACAAAATGGTGCTGATGACTGTATAGCACCAAATTTTTTCTTATTTTTATTGTCCAACCAGAATTGTATTCTCCTGTCAATGCAAATGCAGAGGGATATTTGGTTTAAATGCTGGTCCGTAGATCGGACGTCTAAGAAGGCCTTACTGCATCTGCCCTTCATGGGAGACTATCTGTTTGGAACTTCACTAGACGACTTTATTAAGGTGGTCACAGAGCATTCAACTTTTCCAAAATTGGAAGGGCAGGGATCAGGTGCAAAAACCCTCTCCCTCCTTTGCTTCTGCCAAGCATTGGTTTTGTTCCCCCAGAACACTTCCCAACCACCCAAGGTTTTTTTCTCTACAGCTGCCAAAAGGTCCTGGCAGCTGCCAAAATGCTAAGGTTTGCCCCCACTCCGTTTTCTCAAGATGGAGGAATGTCACATCTCCGATATGTGTGTTCTAGAGGTGTTATCTCGGGGGTATATGATAGAATTTCGTGCCCTGCTTCTCCTTATTTCTACCTTCAAACCTTGCGTGATTTGGAGGCCAATGTGTCTTTAGCATTATGGTGGGTTCTGAATCTACATAGGTCCTTCTTAACTTTGCTACATTATAAGTAGTATGTAGGTTTCGCTCTGGATGCCTCCTGGACTAGAGTATTTCTGCCACAGCAAAAACAGATCAAACAGTCCCATGTTCTGCAGCTCTGCTCTTAAAGCCAGCCCACTTAGGTCTTGCAGGGGAGTTCTGGGTCTTATGGTATCCTCATCTGATGTGATCCAGTTTGTCCAGCTTTACACAAGATTTCTCCATTGGAACATCCTTTGTCATGACAAATCTCTTATATCAAAGACAAGGAAATTTGGTTATGTCATTGGCCCAGGATGTTGCTATCATGGTAGCTTCTCATTCCGGCGTTGATGCCCTGGGCACCCCACCAGTGCAGGGCTGTTGCTCACCAGAAGAATCTGAGCTCCAAACATTCTGGAGGGAAACAGGGTTCTGTTCAGGAACCATGATTGATACTGCTGCCTACAAGAGGAATGGACAATAGGCACACAAATTGTAGGCCAGCCCTAGACACTATAACCTCTTCCACTCCCACCTTGCTTCAGTTGTAGCAAGCAGTACAAAAAAAAAACACACAACAGGAGGGACCTATGCCCCTTAACGGACTCCGAGAAAGGGTTTTTATGGTATATACAAAACTCTCTAATGGTATTCAGCTAGTGAATTGTTACATAAGATATAATGTATACAGCCAGGAAGAAATTCCCTTTAAGTTAAACAAATGACAAACACTATACAAAATATCTATAATAATAGATACGATGAAATCCTGTTTTCTCTTCTGCTTTTTTAGCATGCTAAGGTTGTAAATAATGATTATCATATGGAATGGGAGAGGAGAGTTAACCACAGTGAATAGATAACTCTAATCAAAGCAGACCTATCATTAAAAATTAGAAATCAGACTTCACATGAATCAATTAATATCCATTACCAGGTTTATCTAATTTTTTAATTCAAAACGTCCACCTTTCTTGCCATGAGAAATAATTTCCTGCTGTAAGCTCCATCATGTCACCTAAAGCCTAACTCCAATCTCCATCCCATGCCCCCCTGCCAACTGGCCTTCAATTCTTTTAATACTTACCTTTTGTGACTTCTTCAGTCTGGTCACATGAAGCTGCAGGCTCCTGTTTGCCTCTTCTCTGGGCTGGGCGTTCCTTACTAATACAGAGGCTGCCCAGGAGCACAAAAAGGTCAGGTGTAGACTTTAAGGAGACCCTGTCACTTTGCTCATTCAGGTCAAAGTGACAAGATATGTGTAAAGCCCATGCCTTGACCACTTTGTACCCACTTCTCCAGCATTCTCCTGTTGCTCCTTCCTTCATTGCAACTAGATCAAACCGCTAGGTCCAAACAATTCATCATGGGAAGAAGTCACATGTTTCCCTATATCCAGAAGCACTGGACAATTTTCAATTTACAGAAGTGGTAGGGGAGCACTAGAGGGATGAGTATAAATTAGTCAAGAAGTGGGTCTTTCCGGCACTACAAATGTTCTGGACCCGAGTTCACGCAATTACTCAAAAATTCACGGACAAACAGATCCCCATGACACCCTCCTTCTTCCTCTTACACCACAACAAGCACTCTCTGAAGGGTTACAAAAAATCGGTCATTATTCACCTGATTAACGCGGCCCGGGCCTGCATCCCGGCCATGTGGAAGAATGCTTCCCCACCCACGCTGCAACTATGGCTCAGCAAGGTCCAAGACATTAGGCACATGGAAGACCTAACCAGCTCCATAAAGGGGACTGGAACCCGGTTTAATGCTACATGGTTCTGGTGGGATGACTATACCTCCACACAAGAATACCTAGATCTATTGGCCTGAACCTTCTCCTAATAGGTCCCTGCTCTCCCCCCCTCTCCCCCTGCTTTTCCCTTCTTTTCGCCTCTCAGTCTGGATAACTGTAATGCAACCCTATCTATAGTATGTAAATACTTACATGCCCCAGTGACCTATCAACTGCGGCTACGCGGGGGGTCGTCTGCTTGTCATTCAATACGGATGAAGGGTCTGCGTTATGAGTTCTGGGGGGACGGCACGGGCGGAGGCGGGCTTGTCCCTGCGTCGCCGGGGCTGTCTCTTCAGATACTTTAGGCCCGTTATAGCAAAGCGCGACCCTTCCAGAGATCTACGATCTCATCAACATACAGGTTGAGTGGTTGTCCGAGAGGGCTTTATCCAGGATTCATATGCCTTAGGGTTGAAAGTGTGTACTGTCTACCGTACTATATTGTAATGTCATTGTTTGGTGGCTGCGTCCACTGCTTTTACGATGGGAGTTGTTTCCCTTGCTTGCTATATATGTTTTACTGTCTGAAAACTCGTTAAATAAAGAATTTATAAAAAAAGAAGTGGGTCTTATACAGACCCTTTTACCCTAATGGAAATGGCCTAGGAAAGTTTGCTTAGGTAATGAGTAAATATGGCTGCCCCACATACACATGATTACAAACCATATCAAGAAACAAATAATTAAACACTTTGATTATTTACATTAAACTGATTTTGTACATGTATATATTGTTGCAAAACTATTAAAATTGCTATCAGTTCTCTTAAAGTCTTTTTTTTTTTCTTGGTTGCTATATAATATGAAGACAAAAAAGATATAAAAACGCTAAAAATAAAAACTATGACTCGAAGCGAGAAGAGAGTGCATAGTCAGTATGGTGGCTCCATACACATCAGGCCTCAGGTCCATAAGTTCTGCATAGTATTGTCTGAATTGGGCTATTTAGGGGTCTTTTATGTGCAGATCGTTTATTTGCAGACAAATGTGCAAAGGATCCAGATTTACATAAACATTGTATACTCATGCTATGCCCATCATGACATTATTTTAATCAACGCAAAGAATTGTAGCTGTATCCTCCTAAAAGACATTCATTTGAACAAATGTCAGTAAAATAAATCTAGCAAGCGATCTATAAGCTGCAGTTACAACAGTAATTATCTATTTAAGCAGAAATATTAAAGTGAACCTGTCACAAAACTGAGCACATGATGAAAACTAGCATGCATATTTGTAACTCCACATTCTATACAAAACGTATTATCAGTGGGTTCATCTATGGTGACCTCTGTGAGTGCCATCTTGTCCTTTCGGTAGTTGTATTTCTTAGTGAACATCAGGCATTCTGCATCCCAGACGGAACTTTCCGATCAGTTGGATCCTATAGTTGGACAGGGTCAATATAACGGAGGGATGAGTTCAGCTGACAGGAGGAGGAGGGCTCTGCACATCCCTTGTTTTGGATTTCCGGAGATTCTCCCTCACTTTCAGGAACTCGTGGACTACAGGAGCAGATTGTTCACTCTTGGTCGATTCCTGCTGCCTCTGCAACATCAAGAACCAGAGAGGAAACTAAGCTCTTGTTTTTTTAACCTTTGGATGTGGTGTAACTGTAATTTCTATTAAAAACTGTGATCATTGAAAACAGAGAGACTCAAGATGAAAGATTCACCCATGCTGTAATTATATTCTGCTGGGCCTTAAAGCAGAACTTTTGCTAAAAATGAAAGGTAAAATTTAATAACCATTAAAAGATAAATTGATAAAGCAGCTTCTGCTGGATGAGGTCTGAATAAAAGAGATCGATTTCTACTTGAGAGAAATCTATTAAAGGTATTGTCAGGGAGACACTGTGATCAGTCAGAAGTAATAAATATCTGGAAGCATTACAATTAGGAAATTAGCTAGCATGCCTACACTTAAAATGAAATATATAGCTGATGTTATGATGACTTGGAATCTGGAAGAGATCTTTTCAGTATTAACACCTCTCCTATGTATTATAGTGCACCAGTGCACAAACTATGGACATTGAAGTGTTAACATATTCTTAAACAGTAAAAGAACTTTAAAACGCATTATCACTGATTCATCTAGCTACATGCACTTGAAGATCTGAACACAGAATCTGAGGCCTGGTTCATACTGAGCGTATTGTTGCAGCTGATGCAGCGCAACAAAAAGCTTCACCAAAAAAGTCCACATTCTTATGGCCCCTGTGCACACCTGAGCATTTTGACTGGATCTAAACCCATTTGTCAGCGCTGCCATGGATATGGCCAGGAAAAGGAAAATGCCTGTTGCTGGAAAAAGTACATGAGCTTCTTTGGGGCAGATCTCAGCTTGCTTTGGCCCCATAGACTCAATAGAAAAGGCTTGAAAACATGCGTTGCAATTAGTTATGCACGTTTTTGCGTGTGTGTGTATGCATGCGTTTTGTCCATTTACTTCAATGTGTCACAATCTGCTCATAAAAACGTGCATATTTAATGTATGAGCATATACGTTTTTACGGGCGAAAATGCTGTTGCCAAGGTTTGAATCAGGTCTGCAGGTAGGTTTCAGTTCCATTCCAACAGCTTACAGCACTGGCTGTGTGTTTGCATTAGAAGGATGGCAGGCTGCCAAGTCTCTGCTGCCATAGAAAGTAAAGGGAGAGGAGCTTTGATTTCAGTGCTTCTGTTGTGAATTTGAAGATTAATTTCTCCAGAAGCCCCCAGCTACAGAAGTCAGTGAGGGTTTGCTTTAAAGTGCTTAGACTGCTTAGCTCAGAATATGTAAATGCTTTAATGTATTTAATGTGCATAGTCTGCACACAGGTGCACTTTAAAGCCAATCCTAAACAATCTTTTTATATTTTTGTTAAACTCATGATATCCCACAGCAAGCAGCCAGGATCTGACAGCTGTAAACCCGGGAGTTCTAAGAGCAGAGCACAACACAGAGGGAGGATTGGTGATTGAATGCTCACCAATCCTCCGTTACAGCAGTGCCAGGCTGCTGTAAACAAAGCTAGCAGGGTTTTGTCCTGTATTAAAAAGGGGATGTATTGCAGGGACAAGTCTATAATTTTGCCACTTTATAGATCATTGGTTCGACCTCATCTGGAGTACGCGGTCCAGTTCTGGTCACCACTACTAAGAAAAGATGTCCTTGAGTTGGAAAAAGTCCAGCGGAGGGCAACCAAACTAATTAGTAGTATGGAGGACCAGAGCTACGAGACAAGGCTACTAAATTTAAACATGTTCACATTGGAGGTGAGGAGATTAAGGGGGGATATGATCTCCATGTACAAAATGTTCAATGGTGGTAGCAACATTAGCGATAAACTGTTTAAAATTAACTCCATTACAAAAACTAGAGGCCACCACCTAAAATTGGTGGAAAAAAAATTCCAACACATGGGGCAAAGGGGGTTCTTCACAGTAAGATGAGTTAGGGTCTGGAACTCACTGCCACAGTTCATCACAATTATGACAAATCACGGCTTGAATTATCTTGCTTTGCATGTAATGAGTCTATCTCATATATTAGTTTCACCTTTTAAGTTGCATTAGTGAAATAAATGAACTTTGCACGATATTCTAATTATTCGAGTTTCACCTGTATGTAACTATGTAACTCGCCATACAGAATAGTTTCGGCCCTGAGGTTTCCTGGAATTATATTTAAAAATGGTTACCCCTAGTGTTGCTAAAGGTTAACCATTTTTACATAGAAATCCAAGCCCAAATAACAATTGGGAGGGTTACAGCTATGGAGGTTAATATAATCTTCAGATTCTACATACTCTGCCTGTTAAGAATGGTGACACATAATTCTCACTGTGACTGACTCAGGGGCTGCCTGTAACCTTATGGACTGCATTATGGGACATGTAAAAAAGCAGGAAAGATGTTAACAATAAGCAGCACATTAAATGCGAGATTTAACTAGCAGAAAGAATACTCTGCATTTACCTCCTCTCGTCGCAGCTGCCACTTCTGCAGCTCTTGTTGTAGAGGGCAGTGTGGCACTTTTTTGTCTTGATTTTCCTGATGCTGATTCCGCCTCTTTTCCATAACTCGCAGTAGTTCAGGCTTACTGTGCAAGGCAAGGCCTCTGCAAGAAGACACAAATAAAAGAGATACGAAAAACTCACAGCACAGCAAATTGACACCATGGTTGTGTGGCGCTCACCCCCGAAGGAGGCGCCAGAATAACCCGGATCAGCCATAGCCCGTCTGTAGAGCTACTTTGTCCTAATTTTTGCTACTTGGAGTTCTGGAATAGTAACAATGTAAATAAACTCTAGCTATGCATGTAGGTCCACAACCAAACAATTTTTTGAATATGAGGCTTATAGCAGTAAAAAAGGAAAACAATTCAAACTGGTCCCTGTTTGGTACTGATCCTCAGACTGCAGAAGCCTGGAAATAAAACATACTTCTTGTAGGTGAGCAGTAATTCCCGGTGCAGTTCCTGGTGGGTACGAGATGACTTCAAGCGGTTGTCAGGCTTATATGGAGAGAGAACTTTGGGAAGTATGGTAATTGCATCACATGATCCTTCTTTCCCTGCAGCTTTTAAAAAAAATGGAAAAGCAGAGGTCAGCAAAACCTGGTCAAACTTTACATTGAAGATTGCAAAATGATCTTCTTTAAAGAAGGGCTCTGGGACATGCGGTCAGAGAAGGCAGGTGAAGCAGAGCCTCACCTAGTATTATGGGAGGAAAAGCTGTCAGCTTCAAGTCTGTGGCTGACAGCTTTTTCTTCATTCAGACGGGCTTATAACAGGTTATACAGCAGGGAAAGCCTCCCCGCTGTGTAACCTGTCATGGATGGAACGCTGCCTGCTAATTACAGGTGTGAGCATCCTGCTTTTGACAGCTAAGTTATATTACACAGCAGCGGGCTTCCCCACTGCTTGTGTAACCTAACATAGTGAAGCCAGAGCTGCAACATCCTCAACTCTATGTTGGAGACTTGAGCTCTGTGGATGGTTTGGACCAATGGTAAAGCACCATTGGTCCAAGCTGTCCAATCAAAATAAAGAAAAAAAGACAGTGAAGACATCGATTTTGATGCCTCACCAGTGATGAGCAAGTGAGGAACACGGAGGCTCCTCCTTGTCTCCTCCCTTCCTCTCTACTCTACACAGACCGGATTGGGGGGGCTTCAGTGGGATGGGGTGGGGCTTCGGTGGGCTGGTGGCGGAGTGGGCATGCTGGGGGCGGGGCTGGGGAACGCATCACCAAGCGCGGAAGGACTGCACATCACTGGTGTGTGAGTTACGGTTTCCTCCATAATGTCCTTTATGAGATATGTAGCTTTAAAGTAACCTTGTCAGTGGTAACAAAAAATGGCAGATGAAGGTTCACTACAACAGAAGCTTTATTATACTTACCTCTCTGGTGGCCCATGTCTTCTACCTCTCCTCCATTCGCAAATTATGATGATACAGTTAATTTCAGCAGCTCCATCAAGATGGTACTTTTCTCAATATATCTGTGCTCATAGGCTTAATCCCACCCACCTAAATTAAATTATCCTTATAAAGCAGCAGGGTGCTGGTGATATAAAATGCACCACACGTATCTATAAAATCCATAATCACTCTGCGCTAATATAACTACTATAAATATCCCAAATAGTGTTGGGCTCGATGTTTAAGCCAAACGTGAGTTCGACTTGAACATCGGCAGTTCGTGTGTTCGGCACTGTTCGCCTGCCGAGCATCCTGCACATGCCACTGTGCCTTGTGAGCCCTGAGTGGCTAAAGCCTTGCACCTGACCTCTGGTCAGGTGCAAGACTTTGCCCAATCAGGGCACAGAGAAATGTGAAGCCATGATTGGGCAAAGTCATGATGACTCTGCCCAATCATGGCTCACCTGTCACAACTGTAAACAGTTGGGCAGAGCTAGCTGTCACTGCTAGCTTAGCCCAAATGTTCATATGTTATCGACATTTGTCAAAATCCCATTATGCGGCAATGGTTCGTTGCGAGTGAACGGGACGGCGGTCGTCGTTTTAAAAAATTATTATTTCTATTTATTTTGTATTGTTTTATTTTTTATTTCGTCGAGTCGTCGTCATCGTGGACAATGCTGGACGTCGTGATTAGCGCCGGATTACATCGGTGGATTAATTTTGTTTTGTTTTTTTCAAAATAAAAGGCTTATCAAAAACATGGAAAAAGGATTTTTTTCAAATGTCTGTACTTTTTATTTTTTCTTGCGAGGGTTGTAGAGTGTATGGGCACCTTAAGAGGGAGGGCCTGCCAGGCCTATGCACAGATCAAGGACCTGGTATGGAATTTTAAGGGGGGACCCCACATTTCCCCCACCCCATTTTTGGGGGTGGGGTTCCTCCTTAAATTCCTACAAGACCTTAAGGGCCTGGTATGACTTTAGTGGGGAACCCCACACACTTTTTCTTTTACATAGGGTCACTCCTCAATATTCCTACCAGACCTTAAGGGTCTGGTATGACTTTTGGGGGGAAACCCACGCTTTAAAAAAAAATTTGGTCCCTCCTAACATTCCTACCAGACTAAAAGGGGGAACTGCACGCTTTAATAAAAAAAAAAAAATCTTTAGAAATGTCGGTTTTGCTGCAGCAGGTTCTATACATCCTACAGATCCGCCACTTTACAGGCAGTTTAAGGGGACCCCCCAGGCACGATATTTAAAGGAATTTTTCATGTTTATTGTTACTCTTTAAGCTCCTTTAAAAACTGTATTTTTTAAAAGTTTTTTTTCAGTAATTCCTGTCCCCCAGGGCAGTACCCAGATTCCCATACACCTTTTATGGCCAATAACTTGCATATAAGCCCTCTTAAAGGGAGACAATTGTTTTTGAAAGTTCTACCCCCATAGACTTGCATTGAGTTCGAGTTCGAACTTTTTGGATGTTCTAAAGTTCAAATTCGAACCGAAGTCGGGCCTGTTCGGCTCATCACTAATCCCAAATTCAATAGACAAAGTAAAAAAGATAATGAATAAAACAATTATACAAAGTGTCCTTGTTTAAATGTGTCAAATCAGCTTGATAAAGTGCTTCCCAATAGTGCCCGTGTAAACAGTCCAAAAGTGCTTCTAATAAAAGTGCAATCTTTATATGAGATCCTCCAGAATCCATTAATAAAAAAACTTTGGACTTTTCTGAGTACTGCCCCCACTCACCAGATTTGATGGACCAATAAATATTAGTCGGGTAGCATTTATAAATAATTCTCAAAGTGTAGTCACTCCTCAAGTATATCAACTCTCCTCCGATCAGTATTCGATAATCACGATCATTTTCAGATAAATGCTAGATTTCCATATCAATCACATTTCACAAATATCTCCTCTCTTCCCATTGCCAATAGTACTCAAAGAAAGAAGATAAAAAATTGCATAGTGTAAAATCCTCAAATCACTTTTATTACAAAACGGTTATAACAACTTACAATCTTGTCAGATCTTAAAAAACATTTTGTTACATATCACTCCTAGCCTGCTTGGTTACCATCCTCCCGTTGGTCCCCTCACTCCCTTTCCTGACAAAGCAAGGGAAACAGAAAGCAGCTTGTAGGATCAGCTACAAATCATGCCAGCTCACGGGCAGTACTCGGAAAGGCCCAAAGCTTCTTTATTAATGGATTCTGGAGGATCTCATATAAAGATTGCACTTTTATAAGAAGCACTTTTGGACTGTTTACACTGGCACCATTGGAAAGCACTTTATCATGCTGATTTGACACTTTGGGGTTGATTTACTAACCTTATAAACACACCACGAACGTGTATACACCTCTGCAGTGTGTTCCCTCCCAGCATGATCTATGGGTGGAATCTAAACACCTTTGTAATGTGTACACACCCAGCATGTGTGTTGTGCAAAGCCCTGAAGGAATTCCAAGGTGATGTTGGGTAAATTAGCTCTATGTTGTGTTGCTTGCGTTGATGAATGCAAGGAATGTAAATGCATGAGCTAACCATTTTTGTCTAAACTGTGAAGCAGCATTATATATGCATCATGTGCATGATTTTTCCATATATGGCATTAGTGGAAATATGCTTTTAGAGACTTTTTGGTTGATAAATACGTTTTGCTGTCTGAAAATCACACACACCTGGTGTGTGTGTGTGTTTAGGTTAGTAAATCACCCCCTTTGTATCATTGTTTCATGTATTATCTTTTTTACTTTGTTCATTGAATTTTGGATATTTAGAGTAGTTATATTAGCGCAGAGTGATTGTTAATTTTATCAAGATGATGCTCTTATGTCTGGTTGGGTTTTGCTTCCTTTGGCAGCAATGTAAGGTTGTTGGATGCAGGAGAGTCATGTTGAAAAGAATGTTGTTTGATGTGCCGTTGCTGCAGGGAGGTATGGAGGCAGAAGTGTTGGAGAAAGGGAGATATGGATGAGTTATAGAAGGTGAAGTGTTGGATGTGGGAGATGCAGGTGGTTGTGGTGTTTTTATTTTTTTTTATCTCTATGTTTCTTGGTCTTCAAGGATTCAACCTTCAAGAATACCAGAGCCCATCAGACAATAGCGATGTCCAGATACCAGTTCAGATACCTGTGCCGATACTTGGCATTTTCACGAGAACTACCAGGGTTACAGGGGTTGCAATGGTTGCAGCTGGGACCTGGCTCTGGCGCTCCACCACTGTCCTGAAATCATTAGTCTGTATTGTTTTAGAAAAACTGTCACATGACAATAAACAAAAATGTATCAATACTTGTATCTGTGAGTACTTGGACAAGTATCAGTACTTGTACTTGGAAAAATTGTATCGGTGCATCCCTAATATATATTTCTAAAAAAAAAATAATGCATTAAAATGGGGATGTACAAATCCCAGGAGCTCTGTATGCTCCGTACAAATGACAGCTGCCTCCTAACTTTTGAATTTTTCTCTAGTCTAATCTAGTCCTGGAGATGGAAAAAGTATCTGTACTTTACTTGTACCGAGTACGGTATTTGGTATCTGAAAATCCCTGTCAGACAAATATATAATATTTTTACATTAGTCTAACTTACCTTTCTTAAGTACTGGTAGAGTGGCTCTAATACCAAAAGGCATCCGCAATGAGGACAAGACTTGACATTTAGCCCACATCCACAGCTCCTGTGACATCCTGCAATGACAGCAGATTTAAAAACTTTGTAACCTGTCATAACGTTGAACAAAAGGCTGTGTAACTAACCTGCTATAGCTGCAGGCCTGATAAGTACAATAAGGCTAATTTATAGAAACCTCAAAGCAACATCTATATTAGAACACAGGTATATTTATTATGATGTAAAGCCACCATAAAGTAACAAATCATTATCTTGAGTGATAATACTAAAGCTTGCTCGTGAAAAGTGTAATGCACTACACAAACTATTTTAATTCAGTTATGTGACATTTCATGAGTGGAATATATGAGCAATTGAGTGATTGATGATGAGCTGCTGCCATGGAGATGGAAAGATTAGCCATGCTGCCATTGTGACATAGGTTTCTGCCTCATTTCCATGGTATTGGCACTCTTTCCCATGATGACGGAGGCATCTGTCCCAATGCCACTGTCATGGTGATGAAAGAATGGCAATGGTAGAATTTGGCATTGTAATGGTGGGATCTGCACATTTGCCATGGCGACTGAGGAATCATCATCATCGCTATGGAACAATTGATCTGTGCAGTAACACAATTACCATAGTGGCAGAGGGATTATAATGTTGCCATGGTAATGGAGTAATCTGTGCTGTTGCTCTAGTGTCAGAAGGATCTAGAATGCTGACATAGCAATGGTAATGGCTGTGGAGATGCCATGTGGGACTTGCACCATTGCAACCATAGTGATGGCCTGGCACTGTTGCCCTGGCAATGACGTTCTCCCAGTGTCATGGGATTGTTTGTCATTCCATTGCCATGGCAAAGAGATATATGCAGTTGCCGTGGTGATGAATAGATATGTGCCAACGTCCTTGTGAAGAAGAGATCTGTCGCAGGAATTAGTGCCATTGTCATTGTGCTCAAAGAATAAGCCCCATTGCCATGATGCTGTGTTTTATACATGGCAACAAACATTGACATCTTTTTTCCAGCAGATGTACACACACACATATGTATAATTCATAAATGAGCATAATACCTGATGTCTCTTGCTGTTGCAGAATGGGTGAGATCTGAGAGGGTGGTTCAGGCACTTGTATGCTACATTTACTCATGATGGTAGAATCCTCCAGCAGTGAAAACAGAAGATATAACTACTATGCAGCGAACACAGGAGGGAGGATTGAGATTCACATGCGCAGCGAGCAGCTGATCAGGGCTGAGGCTCACATATGCTGTGAGAAGTTGATAATAGGGGCGAACTGTGGGTTCCTACAACTTAGTGAATCATGTGGCGCCATGCAGAGAAATTCTAATGGTTGCACATTGCCAGCATAGATGGGCAAATAAGCTGGATAAGCTTTATGTTATCCAATTGGCCTCTAATGCTCCAGCAAATTCAAACATGGGCCAAGCATCTGCTAAACCAAGTTCCAAAACATGTCGTTTTCAATATACTGGTGAAACTCGAATAATTAGAATATCGTGCAAAGTTCATTTATTTCACTAATGCAACTTAAAAGGTGAAACTAATATATGAGATAGACTCATTACATGCAAAGCAAGATAATTCAAGCCGTGATTTGTCATAATTGTGATGATTATGGCTTACAGCTCATGAAAACCCCAAGAACCCCAAATCCACAACCTCAAAAAAGTAGATTATTACATGCAATCAATAAAACAAGGATTGTACATAGAACAATATCGGACCTCTGAAAAGTACAAGCATGCATATGTACTCAGTACTTGGTTTGGGCCCCTTTTGCAGTACTTACTGCAATTACTTTTCCACAATATTCTAATTATTCGAGTTTCACCTGTATACAAAGACAAGGCTGCCTATATTATATAGGCCTAACCAGATTTACACAGCTTGGCCCCTAGGCCAATTTTCTTGTGCCACTACCCTAGTTGACTGGCTTGCCCTAGTATCATCCTACCAAAGTATTATGTTGTGGTCACAAAAGGTACAGCAAGGTTTACGTATCAAATTATACAGATTTCTCTGTTTCACCTGAGTTTGTTCAACTCATGGCCTGGAGTCCCAACACTGCTCTCACCTTGCTGGTCCATGAGAGTTTAATTTCCCTGGTGTGAAGTTAAAAGCTGTAAGGATGGAGTATATCTGCAGCCACAACCAATAGAGTTCACAGTAACTTTTCATGTATGTATTTTTTAAATGCAATCAAGTTTAACTTGGTATCAGCCTTCTGCAGTACTTGTACGGCAGATCCCAGGAAGGGAAAAGCAGCTCGAGGAGCCAATCAGATGTGTTCCAGTGCAGAAAGCATGCTGATAGGAGAGGACAGCAGTGTGACAGAGAGATGAGCTCATCAGTCAGCTGCTTCTCATTCTACTGTCCATTTACAGATGAGAGTGCAAAGGAGACCTGTAAAGGTGGCCATACACTCTACAACCATCGCAAGACTTTAGTCTTGCGATGGTTGTAAAGGGATTAAAAAAACGTACGATCTGCCTATCTTGGACAGGCAGATCGCACTCTCGATCATCGCAAGCCCGCCCCCCTGAGGGGCGGGCTTCCGATGACCGCAATGCTGAACGGGCAGTGTGCGCGTGCGCACACCGGCCCGTTCGGCATTTGTCTTCCGAGCACCGTTCTAACCAGCCGAGAATCGTACGAACATGCTGGTTCGACAGAAGACGTGCGACCGTACAGTAGAAACGGTCGCACGTCTCCGTTCACACTGCTCGATTATCGTACGAAAAACCGATCGCATACGATTATCGTACGATAATCGTGCAGTGTATGGGCACCTTTAGTGTTACTGAACTACAGAAGAGAATGATCATGTCTCCCATTCTGCCAAACAAAGTTGTGTGTCAGAGCTGTGAAAATCTCAGAACTGGATGTGTCGAAACACAAATTATTTGACGGGTAAAGCTGCCCATACACCTTGCGATCATCGGATGAAAATTGTCCTCCGATGATCGAACCGTCGTACGATTTTCGTACGGCGGCCCCATCCTGCCCTGATTATCGCAAGGTTGTATCAGCGGTAATTAAAAGAAAGCACCTGGGCGAATTGCAGTAATTGACCGCACGTATTTTCGTTTGCGCATGTGCAGTGTAAATCGTACGTATTTTGACGTCCGGAAACGCCACCAACTTTGCGAAAATCATACGATCAACCGAAATTCTAACCTGCTGGATAGTCAAAAGTCGATCGATTGTACAGTATTTGCGGTTGTACACTGACCATCAACCTTACGAATATCGGACAAAAACGCGATCCTTTACGAAAATCGGCCGATATTCGTAAGGTGTATGGGCAGCTTAAGACAGATCCCATATACCGTATTTTTCGATCCATAAGACGCACTTTTCCCCCCCCAAAATGCGGGGGAAAATGTGTGTGCGTCTTATGGAGCGAATCCCTATTTTTTTGTACATTTAGCCATGCTAAAGTAGAGCTAAACGTACAGTGGAAGCCGGTGCTCGTTTAATACAGGTGATCTATTTAGATGACTTGTATTCAAACCGAGCGGCGCCCCCCCCCGGTGTTTTTCTGGTTTCCCGCTCCTCTGGGGGACCCGTGACCACGGGATAGGAGCTCACCATAGAGCCCCTAGAGCAGACGAAGAACGGCCGTTCTTCATCTGCTCTGTGTGATCACTGAGACCGTGGCACTGTAATCACAGCGCCACCTGTCGCAGCTGTCACTTACTGCAGCTTCTGTCACAGCTTCTGTCACAGCTTTTGTCACAGCTTCTGTCACAGCTTTTGTCACAGCTTTTGTCACAGCTTCTGTCACAGAAACTGGAGTGCCGGTGTCTATTTCTTTTTTGGTGCGCCTTATGGAGCGCAAAATACGGTATGTATTTCACCTGTGTATTTAGCTGTTTGCTAAATATTCAGATGTCATTGTTTGTGCAGATAGACCTTCAGTCTATCTGTAGACAGTGGCGACTCTAGGAACAATATATAGGGGGGGCACATAAGATACCACAGTCAGATCTGGGGTGGCACTAATAATTTTCATTGCATGTCGCAACCGATGGGCGCCGAGAGCTGATTTAATTGCGGATGGCATCTGCGCCCTGCAGTTGCGACAGAAGCTGCATACAGCGTGTGCTGGTTACTACTTAAACTGGCGCGCTGTGTGGAGCTTCTGAGAAGATACGCTATTAGCATAGCGAGGAAGTTGGCTGCGCATTTTGCATCACTCCCGCTACGCTAATAGCGTATCTTCTCAGAAGCTGCACACAGGGCGCCGGTTTAAGTAGTAAC